ACACCCACGACCCCAGAACCACCATTCTGACAAAGATTGATCAAGATTTGAGTATGGGAGGCTCCTTACAGCTCGGGAGACCATGCAACTCGCAAGTGAGAGCAAGCTCACTTCGTCGTCCATGGTCGTCTCCCGAGCTGTAAGGAGCCTCCCATACTCAAATCTTGATCAATCTTTGTCAGAATGGTGGTTCTGGGGTCGTGGGTGTACAGACATTCCATATCTGAAGTCCAATTTTTTTTAAAAAAATATTCTGAATAGTCAAAATTCATCAGAATAATCACTATATGGCCTGTACCAGTACACTAGGGTCACCTGTTGGGCTATCAGGGGGCCAGTAATTCACAATCATACCATACAAGCATCCCTGCAGCCTGATCTCGCAATGATCATGTCTCGTTCAGCTGCAAACCCTTCAGCACACCAAACTGAGAATCTGGGCCAAAACGAAGACTTTCCAACCTCCTTCGCCAGTACAGCCCTCAATCAGGTCAGTATCACTCCCAGATGTTGTTCAATGCTGGTACAGACTCATGCAAAGCTGTAGCTGACAGCTCAGAGCATATCTGTGCCTTCGTTGTACTGCAGAAGGTGACCTTGTAAAGCCCACAACTAATGGAAACTGAATCCATCATCTTATGTGGGGTATGTATAATGGGACGACCCAAGGAACCATAAGAAGTGAATCATGAAAATGAAATGTCGTCACGAGTCGGATCCTTCCTGAATGTGTTTAGCTAACAAGTACAAATGTCCTACCACAACTCTGGTAATCCCGAGGAAAGACGAGCTAGAGAAGGAATACTTCTTACAAAGTCTGTATTTAGGAGTAGAAGACAGTGTATCCTACAGTGTTTTAACTTGAATGATGGCATGTATTTCTCATGTCAAAAGAACTTTAACTACAATCGAGACAGTCCGAGAACTGTCCATGTAAAAGCAAGCCAGAGACTGTGAGGATACTGAAATTGATATGCTCACCTTTCGGAACCTTGGCGGTCACCACAAAGAACGTCAAGTCCTGATGTATTATAGCGAGATGGCTTGAGAGCGGTACAGATCGGACAAGTAGCGGTTGGACGAGCGAAAGAACAGAGAGCATAAGCTGAGCAAGTTGCAGGGTCCGGCGGCGGCTCCGCATGAGCGAACTCCGCGGGGATCCCGCGGGGAAGCAGCTTGCGGGGGCCCGCAGGGTGGGCGACATGGCGGGATCAAGAGAAGCCTTCTTTTAATTTACGGCGACGTTTCCGTGCCTGGATTAGCCGGTGCCTTGCTTCGATCATCGTTTCAGAGAGTGATGGGATGTCTGCCGCGTAGAATCTATAAAGAGGGGATGCTCAATAACTCAGGATGATGTCTGATGGCATCCCCTTCCCCAACCACGTACCTAGCACTGCTCGACAACGTGGTCGACTTCGCATTGCGACTCGCGGAGGCTGGTGACAGATTCCCCGTCGCGCCTCCGCCGGACGTTGCACCCGAGCTAGTCGCGGAGGTCCGCCAGATTCTCGAACGTGTTCGGGAGGCTCAGAACAACAGAAGTAAGCTGAGCCTCCTCAACTTTGTAAACATACTGATCTGTTCCCCAAGTTACGGTTCCGTGGGATAATCGATCCTACGATGTCGCTGTAGGCGGACATGAAGGCCGGACCTGGGGTTTTGAGATAGCCCTGCAGGAACAGTTTCGACCCTTGGGACCAATAAGTATCAATCAACCGACCTTATTCGAAGATGTCAAACGACAAGCTCTCGTTTACTATCTCTCTGATTGTATCTCAGAAGATCGGCAGGTCAGTGGTTTCGTCACTATCTCTCACTATCGCATCTCTGTACTGAAGCTTGCCGCAGGCGCGAATTGCAGATTCTATTGGAGTCCTGGCTCCCACACTCCGCGCAAATGGTCCTAAAGTCATAAGGAACCTGCCAGGTGCCCCTCGCTCTCAAGCAGCTTGGCGCAATGCAGAGAACCTATTCCTCAAGTCTCACCAATGTGACAAGTTTGGACGAGGAAACATTAGTGGCTCACCAGCATGGCAGCAACAAGCCAAAACGGTATGCACTTGACTATATTCATGAAGTCCGGTCTGAACGACAGCAGGGCTGGACGAATTCCATTCATGTCTCCGCGGACCTCGCACCTCCGCCGGGCCGGCGCGGGCCCTCCGCGGGTCAGCTCGGATTCCAGAAGTTCTTCGCGGAGAATCTTGAGACCGGCCTTCTTGTTTCGACAGCTCTTGTCCTCACCCATCCCGAGCAATACGCACTGACAAGAGCATCTCTCGAGCGTCTCTCTACCATTGATCACATCTCCGAGCGGCTTCTGGAATGGTCGTTCTCTTTCAACGTCGTCACTGTCATCGCGAACCGCCAGGCCCCTTTCCATCGGGATAGATCTAGTGGTGGGTCGGAGTGGATGGAGGTTCTCCTCACTGTTGGAGGTGATGCTGAGACTGTGTTGGAGTTGCCGGGAATTGGAGCTCGCTTTCAGTATAGGTCGGGGACTATGGCTCTGTTTGCCGGCTATACACACCTGCACGGTGTCAGCGAATCGTGCGCGGAGAGAGTCTGCATCGCGAGCTATGCCCGCCCATCTGTGCAGCGTCTGTTTCGTCTTCATAACCCGGATCCCCCCACAGTCGCGCGATCACTACACCATAATATTTGGAGGCAGTACATCACAGACATACTCTCATGGGCGCGACAGCCCGAGTTCAGTACCTAGCTTTACGAGCCCTAATGCCTTACAGTACCAAAGAGATCACTAATCATCCTGACGTTCTTTACCTTTCGCATTCGAAGACGAAGCCGCGGGTCCCCCGCGCGGATCCTCCGCGGCGGTCCCGCGCGGCTCATCCGCGTGTTGCGGGATTCCCTCCGTGAAGCGTATATACGCCAACCTCCGCCGCACCTCCGCCTCACGCGCAGGCCCGCCGGGGAGTTTGTCGAGCTCTGCTTGCAGCTCGGCCGGCACTGTGGCGTGCGGATGGCTCTTCAGGTAGATTTGAAGAAGATCGAGCTCGCGACGACGGACTTGGTCTTGAAGGGCAGCAACGAAGCCTTCGTGGTCGTCTTCGAGTGCATTGATCTGTGCAAACAGACCTTGCAGCTCAGGGATGAGAGCAGGATCATGAGCGGTGGCCATCTGGCCCCAACGCTATGTCGCATGAGTCTATCGTAACGACATAATCCTCAGTTATCTCACCATAACCTTGGCAAACAAATCGGCAGCTTGAGTAGAGCGAAGCGGACGGTCTGAGTGAATGAACTGCCCATCCGGCAGCCACCATTCCAACTGATTCGCCTCCATGCCACAGGTGAAAAGGAACAAGCTGTCCGCGGCCTTGAAGGTGGGGTTGGTGAAAGGATATAGGATCTTTTTCCCTTGTGTATCGAGTAGTCCAGCACCTTCGATCATTGCCTGTGTGCGCACAAAATGCAGTCCGCTACCCTCTGGATCCGTGAGCTTCGCGTATATGTCTTGTGTACGGGTAGATGGAGCAACTCCTTCAATAGCAAGGAGGCCGCTGACACTGTCCATCTGTGCCTGCAAAATCCATCAGCATGACTCAGATGATGGCGAGCAGTGTTCGTACCTCCTCCTGAACTAAACCCTTTGTTAGCCAGTTGTCATCTTCAAGGCTCTCAGGAGCAGTAATAGTACTGTGAATAAGGAGGCCGGACAGGCTGTCACAGATGCAGTTGATTCGGCTAGCAATCCAGTACCACTCGGCTCTGCGGAGGAAATTGCCATTTCCGTCCTTGAGAATGTTGCTCATGGTGGTTTTGTCGTGGGAGAACTTTGGTTGAGCCATGATGGTTCAGTTCAAGGAGCAGATCTCATCTCAGATTGTGCATCGCGACGGGCTGGGGGATCGATGGCATCGGCGGACCCATCAGGGCGAGAAAATCACGCGGGGGTTCCGGGAATTCCAGGCCTGATAAGCTCCGTCGATCGATCGATCTTATCATCTCCGCCGAGTCTCCGGGGTGGGTCAAGGGGCGGAGATCGAGAGATAACATCGTTCATATCTGATCTTGGGCTTGTCTCTTACTATCATCATGTCCCAACAACAGTATCGCCATCAACTGCTATGGGAATCAATGCAGAGTCGTTTTGCACAGGCTATACTGCACTTCGACCCCTTGATGTACCATGACGATCTCATCAAAGCTTTTGAAAGCGAGCTTGTAAGTCTGCCGTGAGTCTGATCTATATACATTCACTCATGATGATGATGCCAGGACGTGCTTAAGGCTGTCATTGGTCGTACGCGGCTGCTGACTGGGGAAATGCCACCTGAATCGAAGTTCATGAAGGCTATTGTCCGTGTGTTCTCTTTGGGTGCAACTGGTGACTGGAACTTGCTTCGCCCGGCTGCTCTCGAGTATGGTGTCATTCACGGTGGAGTGGCTCCGCGCGATGTTACCGGTCTTCCTCAGTGGTGGCTGCGATACCCGAGCACATGCCTTGGATCGCACGACGAGGATGGAGAACCCTACATCCCTGAAAGCCTGAATGACCATCTCAGTGTTCCTGCCTGGGATCTGGTAGAGCACATCATCCTGCGCGGTGGCGGAGATATCGGGATGCAGGTAATTGTCTCATTAAGAGCAGCTGAATTACCCTAACAGGGCCATTAGGTCAAGTCTAAGCCCGAAGGTGAAATTGCTGAACTTCATGTTGCGATCTGGCGTCTCCAGCGGGCCATGCAACCTATGCAAGCTGCAGCTGCACAAGACTGGACGGACCTCGCTGAGCTCTTCAATATGGAAACTGCTACGCATCTCGCACGGGCTGTGGAAATTCATCCGCTTCACCTTCAAGGGAAAGCAGCCATGGCTGAAGCGAAGGCCGGATCGGCTCATGGAGGGAAAGCCAACTCTTCCGCCAGCCGCGGGGATGCCGCGGGGAATCGAGGGTCCTCCGCGCGCGGCCCCTCCGCAAAAGGACACTCCGCAACGCAGACCTCCGCGCCTGGACCCTCCGCGCCCGGACCATCCACGGCCGGCCCCTCCGCGGCCGGCCCCTCCGCGGCTGGAACCTCCGCCGCAAACCCCGTGGAGATAGACCTTGACCTGGACGACTCCGCCGGTTCCGACGCGGACGTGCAGGCCGTTCCTCCGCCTGGGCCGCGCCGGGGGCGCGCGAACTCTGGTCGCAGTGTCTTCTCAGTTGATTTCAGTTCGAATGAAGAATGATGTTGTACCGCATTTCCGTTACATACGACTATTCATGTATATCAACTGATGCTGCCCCTTGTCCTGTAACTATATCTCTCATGGATCGCCACTCAGCCGAGAGCTTCTCCTGGGTGTAGATACCGGCGTATCGAAATGAACTGTTTTGCCTGGTGTCTGAGATCGCCGTGTGCTCCCTGTCGAACTGGATGGCTTCAAGACCGGTTTGGGCTTCCGCACCATTTTTGGCTTCGGGCGTGCTTTAGCGACTGGTGTTGGTGCTGGAGATGATGACACTCGCTTTCGGGGAGTAAGAAGTACTTCCACTACTCTCGAAGGTGGCTTCCTGCTTGGGTCCGTTGCAGAGGTCCCACTGTCCCTATCTAGACGTCTCCTTTTCGTCGGGCGCGGTGCATATCGCTCTGAAGCATCGGTATCATCCCCCTCATTGCTCTCCGAACCTGGTAGGGTGATATTTTCATCTGACTCCTCCGTGTCGGAAAGCCCGCTTTGAAATTCCGGTAAGTCGATATGTTCCAACTCCTCGGAGCCTCCGCGAGCATCCTCATCCTCAGGCTCCTCGGCCCGTTTTCGCGCTGATGGCCGCACTCTCTTCTTCGGCCGACCAATGGCTGGAGCCTTCTTCTTCCTCTTAGCCTTTCGCTGCTGTTTCTCCTTTAATCCCGGCACTGCACCCATCGACTTGCTATTGCTGTCGGACTTTCCAGTACGACTGCTTCGCTGAATCGGCTGATGGTATGTAGGCTGCTTTCTCTTTCGAGTTGTCGCTTTCTCGACGGGCGGCACGATATCTTCGTCGAGTAGGCTGAAGTCAACAGGGACAGGAAGTTCTGGCAACGATGCTGGTCTGGTGGAGGACAGGCTGCCTCGTGAGCGACCTGAAATGGGCTGTGATGTGTCGGCCCGACTCTGTGCACGAAGGTCTCGGTTACGGGCCATTCGCTCCTGTTCCCTAGCATGAAGTTCGAAGGCGAGTTGTTGGTTCACCTCTGCAGCTGTGCCAGGTCTCGAGGTTGCATGCTGTATAAACTCCTGCAGCCTATTGCCCTCCTTGTTCGTTCTGCGTGCAGCCTCCAGCAGCTCAGGTGGTGGTAACGACTGGCCAGCAACCTTTCGCCCGGAAAGCGAGTTTCTAAAGCCCGGCGGCGCGGCTCCGCGGTGAGGCTCCGCCGGGCCCCCGCGGTGCTCCTCCGCAATGCTCCCCGCCAGTCCAACCTCTGCGTCATCTCCGCGAGCTTCCTGCCTTTCCTCGGATCCAGCAATTTCTTCTTCGTCCAGGCCTAGACCTTGCAGGATGTCGACGTGACTGTCCGCTTGTGTATAAAGCAGGTCTAGTAGCTCTCTCGCGGAGCCTCGGAGCTTTGACTGCTGGAGGTGTCCGAGCTTATCCCAGTCTTCATTCACAATGCTCTCGAGGTCGGCCTGAGTGCAGGCCATCACAAGTAAATGCTGTAAGGCAATCTCCCGTGATATGGGGAGACCCGTAGCTGAGTTGACGAAGAGATTGGGAGATCGGAGCCACGTTTTGATCCTAAGAACGCTGTCGGTCGACTGGTGGCAGGCCAAGGGCAATCCCAGTCGAGGCGACTGCCAGGAGGGGAAGTCCGATGTCCCGGGCAAAACAACAGGTGATGATCCATCAGTGTGCACTGGCTACCCAATTCTTAGCATTGAACATGCAATGCCAACTTTTGGACTCACCAAGTGCTGTGCGAGAGCTAACAGTTGCACGAGCTCGTAATGCATGTTAAAAACCGTGCAAAGATAGGCGAGTCTGGAGCTTGCAATTTCGTATTTCCTGCTAGGTGCTGTACCAGGATAGTAGTTGTCCTCCGTGGCCTTCTCAAGATAGTGTTTGAACGTCTCCCCAATGCGCTTTAGCTCCACGTACTCCATCGTGCAAAACTCTGCTGATCGACTCGCACTTCGCAGATATAGCAAGAAGGCTAGGATAAAGCACCAGGCCATCTCACTGCCCGAGTAAAGGACGGAGCCTTGATGGGAGAACGTCCACGGAGATGCGCGGAGGTACGTCTCCAACTCCGCGACTTCGACGGCCGATGTGGGTCCGCGGAAGGAGTCGGCTTTCCAGTCGACAAACTTTGGCAAGTTTGGTTGCATCTTGTGCTTGCGGAATGGTCCTACAGGGTAGCCGTGGTTTCTGACGAGCTTGTGAAACATGAGTTTCATCATTGAGATTCCGATCAAACACCCCGTACCGGAAGTTCTACTAGCAAGGTGATGCACCTTCTCAGCACAAAGCCTGGCGTACGTTCGTCGTCGACGAGGATATCCAAAATGTCGTAAGCCCACTGCGACCTTGCCTCGCCATTGGATGGCACAAAAGCCGGCACAGGCCAGCCATTGTCATTTGGCGGAGCGGAACTTTGCTTGACGTAGTAGTCGTCGGGGTCAGGGATCGTGACAAAACTTGGTGGATCAATTAAGTTGTCTTCTTGCCAGTTCTCCTCATTGTGGACCCTCTGCCGTCGTGAACTCCCATACAGACTGCGAACTGTGCTTTGTCCACGGCGGCCGGACTTTGCAGCCGCGGAGGGTCCGGTGGACGTTACTCCGCCGGCCGTCGCGAGGGACCCGCCGGCGGAGCTGACACCTCCGTCAGCGCCAGGCCCACCCTCTGGGTCCGCGGGACCTCCGTGCGCAGTCGATCCTTCCCTTGCTCCCGACTGTTCCCTGGCTCCTGCCCTGTAGATCGGTCTAGCATTCAGGGCCTTCTCTTTTGCCTTCTCAAAGGCAGCCATCTCAGGACTAAGTGCCCACCATCTTGCCTCGAGGTCGACAGGCGGTCGGGGAGTCGTACCACGCAACTTGTAGGCTTTGAAACAAACCTCTCCTACTTCAAAGAATAGGTGTCGGAGGACTTTCATCTTGTCGTCGTCACGTAGCTTGCCCGGGTCGGTCATCTTGATTCCCTCTGGAAAGTGCTTCAGATCAAGAAGCTCCCCATCAGAGAGGTAGGTCCACGGTGGCTGCAGGGCGCGCGGATCGCGTGACGTGATATTAGCTGCAGTAAGGTTTAGATCTCTCTTTCACTTGGTTGCTCCTTGAGACAAGCAATATTCTTACCGTGACCCATGCGAAAGATGGCATGAAGGAGTTGAAGCCTTTGTGCGAAGAAAGCTTCCTCGTTCCAGTCTTCCTGCCGAAGCCGCACTGCATCCCCTCCCATGAAGTCTTTCGGGTCGAAGTCGTAACAAGTGAGTTCATCAAAAGCTCGCGCAGGCTTCTTGGCTTTCTTGGTAACAGGATCAGATGCCCCTTAAGGAATGGGTGAGCAAATGACGGGCGGAGAAGGGCTGATGAAAAGACGGCGGAGCTTCGGCGGAGGCTCATCTCGGAGGCAAAGCGGGGCCCCGCCGGAGAAACGAACTACTCCTATGACGAGGGATCCTTGCAACGGGCTTCCGCACCCCACTCACCAACTTTGGTTGTGACATGATTGCGAAACACCGCAAGAGTATCGTCCATGGGCGTGCGGTCCTCCACGACCTCATCTCCCAGTCCCAGCTCTCGACTGAAGTCATAGCTACAGCAATGGTCAGCACGTTCCTGTGAAGTGCAGGTTCGACATACACTTTGGATTTAATTTCCGTACCAGGCTCCCCAATTGCAAAAATGAAGGGATATACTCCGTATACCTGCAGGCATTTCTGAGCACAGTTCAGAAGAAACTTTTTGCAATGCTTGGCATTTTTCCTATGCGACGTCAACAATCAATGTGCTGGAATACTTTGTGAAACGTACTTTTTCTTCATACCCTTCGGAATGCCCGTCCTGTTCCAGCTTTCGCATAAAGTCTGTATTGCCTCGCGTTCCTCGTCGGTTAAGCTGTAGTAGATGGCCGCCCGAGCCTTCGGGTACTCCGCAATCCAACCGTCCTTGCTACCGGCTGCCAGCCCGGTCAGCTCGTTGCACAAGTCCACAATTGCGTCCTCGTAGACATCTCCACAGACATCCATCTCGTTCCACGACTTCTTTTTCTCTCCTGGTAGTCTAAGTACGGTCCTGCGCATTCGCAAGCGCTCCTTAAAGAAGTTGTTCACTGCCTGTTTGACATATCAGCCCAGGTCTTCAAGCTGGAATCACGGAGGCTTGAGCAGTCACGGAGGGTCCGCGGCGGGGCCCCGCATTATTCTTCCGCGGAGGCCCGCGCGTCAATTTTCGAACGATTTCTTGCTCTCGAGTCCTCCTGACTTGCCACGTACCTGTTTCTCTCTATGCCATTTGGGATTCACTGCCTTTGATGGCCATAAGCTCCTGATCTCCCATTCAATCTCCTCGCCTTCCCATACAAGTCGGAATGACTCCAAGGCAAAAGCCGTTCTTTCTTGACCATCGAGTATGACGTAGTCATCGATTCGAGGCTCAAGTTTTTGAATTTGGGATGCGTTGAGAGTTAAAGTAGCAATATGATAGGGTGCTCTCTCCCCATATGTCGGATCGACCTCCTCATCGTCGCTGTCCATAGTCGGTAATAGAGGTGGTGATGGTAGTGGTCAAAATGTCGCCTTACCCGCATTGAAGGACCTCTTGCCCGACTTGGTTAAGGAAACTCCAGCTCAATTTTCCATCAGATCTGCCTGAAACACGACTTTGGAGAATTCTGATGGCCCTGCATCATCTGATGGGAACATCATTCCCATGGTTACGCGATGAGATATCATGTCATCACTCCCCATTAAGGGTGGCCAGCTACCCGTCCCAATTGAATACTCATGACTGATAAAGATAGACTTGTGATGGAGTGGTTTCAGTTTATCTTACTCAGTAAGGCATACGGGTCAAAGAGCACCAGATATCTTTGTCGACGGTGTAGTGTCAATTCACGCCCAATGAACTATGTTTCCCACAAGCTGAACGAAGGTAATGTCGACGAGTGCTACTGAAAGCTGTTCAAAGGTCCAGCTGGCTGCCTGCCGATCTGATTATCTGGCCTGGAATGGCGCATTTGCCCTGTCACGACCACCTCCGGCGGAGAAAGAAAACAGGCGGACCCCCGCGGAGGTTGTAAGCTCCTTGACGGACCCTTCTAGTATGCGTTTCGAGAGATCCGAAAGCCGGTTAAACGGTATTCTTCCAGACCCCCCATACTACTTGAATGGGCGCCGGCCAGTAAAGCTCGGAGCCGACGGAGGGTGTGTGCGAACACTAAACGCCTCCGGCGGGCCCCCGCGGGGGGAACCTCCGTGTTTGTGTCCTCCTATGTATCTCGACCCTGCCTTGTGCTCCCGACATCTTTCGAATACCACTAACTTATCCCTATATCACTACTTATGCATATATCCAGCTGTTTTAACTCTGATTGGGCATAGTGCAGTTCACCCCTTGCAGTTAGAGTGACAGCTGTGAGATATCAATGTCAATCGATTTACAGCCCAAGTTCTTGCGGCGGGCCTGGCGGACCAGTTTCTCCTGGCTCATATGTGCCTTCGCCGTATTTCCTCGTAGTGACGGCTGTCCGCTCGCAGGTCTGAGATCGGGGGTCCGCAGGGCGGGATTTTCGGCGCGAATCGATTCCTTGCCCAGATTTGCACGGCGGGACTGGCGGGCCACTTGAGTTCAACTGACATACACTGAGTCAGTACATGCTAAAAATGTCGGCTCCCCGCTGGTCGATATGAGGTGGTGCGCCCCCAGGGCGGGATTTTTGGCCCGAATCGATTTCCGGCCCATATTCTCACGGCGGGCGTGGCGGGCTCTCTTACTTCTACTCCTACATGTAAGGGCAATGTGTGCCCATAACGGCGGCACCCCGCTCGACAAATCGGGGCCGCAAGCCTGCAGGGCGGGATTTTTGGCGCGAATCGATTCCCGGCCCAGATTTGCCCGGCGGGACCGGCGGCCTCCCTAGCTCCTACTCATACAGGTAAGAACAGTCCATGCCCATGAGGGCGGGCCTCCGCTGGTCGATATGAGGTGGTGCGCCCCCAGGGCGGGATTTTTGGCCCGAATCGATTTCTGGCCCATATTCTCACGGCGGGCGTGGCGGGCTCTCTTACTTCTACTCCTACATGTAAGGGCAATGTGTGCCCATGACGGCGGCATCCCGCTCGACAAATCGGGGCCGCAAGCCTGCAGGGCGGGATTTTTGGCGCGAATCGATTCTCGGTCCAGATTCGCACGGCGGGACTGGCGGACCTTGCTGCGAAGGGTCCTAGCATGTGTATTTACCTGCTACCCTAAGGAATTGCTCCCGCCCCAAAATGTAGGCGGGCGACGATGAGGGGGCGGCATATGGCGGCGGGCGGGCGGCCGCGCCCGATGTGGATGATGGGGCGGACCCTGCTTGATGTCGGAGGTAGGCCGGAGATGGTCGACCCCGACGGACCTGACGGAGGTTCAATCTCCGCGCAGCGCTCGGGCCTCCGCAGACTGTCGTACTACATTACGCGTACCTCCGCCTCGATCGCGGTCCACGGAGGCATTTTATTATATCTGTTTGGCTGGGCCCATCGGCCGACGTCAATTAAACCGGATTCCCGACCCAAATCAACCATTAATTAAACACATTTCCCGACCCTCACTTGCTACACTGTGTGCGGGTGCGTATCCTGGCCTCGCGGCAAGACCTGCGACCGAAACCGTCGAAGATCAGTCCTCGAATAGCGATCGGCGACCTCCGCCATATGCGTGGTCTTGCGGCTGCGATATCGGAGCTCGCCGAGCCAACAAGCGGGGCACCGGTCGTTTGCCTTCTCTCGCCGACTCAGACCATGACATGCATATCATCTCATGAACGGCAATTGCCCCAGCGTCCGTCTTGAAGCCAGTGTTTACCATTTGACGGCCAATAACCCCACGAGTGCATCTACAAATCCAGCCACACCTCTGCGGCACGGCATAGTCATTCGCTGCACCCCCCCCCCAATCATGGAAACCCCTAAACCTGCGTGCGCAATCTCGCCTACTTCTCCCTTACGGTATGTGCAACTATTATCGTCGATAGGCGATGGGCCTGATGATGCGTCTGTCAGATCATTGGAGGGTTTCACATTCGGAATACACCACCCGGAGGAGACTCAGGTGATTTCTCAAAGTGTGAACCGCTAGGTATACACTCGAGACTTCCGTCAGGTCGAGAGCCTCAACCGTAGATTCTCCCAGTACATGGAGAGGTTTTTCGGGGCTGCTATCCAGCTGCGTTTCAATGAGCTAGGCCAGGTGCGTTCTGCGCGTAACCCATGCACGCAATTACTGACGTGTTCGTCTAGCTTCGGGTTATTGTCCTCTGCTCAACCTGTCTTAAAAGGACGTGGGGCTTGTACTTGTAAGTTGGGCCTGTAAAATGCTCGGGGTCTGAACTCAAAGATATGGTACCAGTGTCCCGTCTTGCCCACGTGTAGCGTGCTTCAGCTGTCAGCAACTGTCAATGGCATCAGCTTCTCGTAGCAGCGAAACGTTCGGCGCTCGTTCAATAGGATCACTTATTCCGGTATCCTATCTAGAAGAAGCCATGCAGCTCGTTCTAGACGCCTTTGTAGAGAGTTATCTGAACTCAACGGCTACCCAGTACCAGTAGTCATGCCGCTCGACGTCAGAACTGTCTTCGTACGCGTACTTTTGGTTTCTGTCGCAGATGCAATGTCGTTGGCTCTCTCTCTTCTAAGATTACTCCTGTGCTCCAGTCGTCTCCGCATGCACTTGCTAGTGCATCTACCGTATCTGGATGCAGCATGCGTGTAACGTGCCGCGAGTGTCCTGCGGGCAGATCAGGGTCTGGAGGCGCGGCGCGGAACGTGGCATCTTTCCGCCCCCACCAGCGCAGCTCTCACTGCGCTCGCGGCCTGTAAAAGTACAGTCAAGCTGAGTCCAGTCTCCTTTCGACCCCACTCAGTGTCCGCTCAGCTCAGCTAGCACTATTTGCCAGTGTCAACTTTGCAAGTACCAGTGATGCGGCAGAGGCCGGACATGGCGACGGCATCGTGCATCATTGCGCAGGCTGAACGTTGAGTTCAGAAGCCTCTCCCTCCAGGGCCGTGCGGATCACAGCGATCGCTCGCCCCTCTCCTCTTGACCACCACCATGTAGCGTCAATGCGCACATACTTGACGCTCCTGTCCGACTATTTCGATTGTTCGTACCCCTTGCCGTCGTTCACGTTTGTGGAGTACGTGCGCCTGTCGACTCGACAATAATCGACGCCCGAAAGAATGCCCGCAGCACTCCACGCAACCTGTCGGCATCTGACACGATCAGCGGTATCGTGTTGGTATCGTGCGAGCGAAGTACAAAGCAAGGAATTTATTGCTAGGTCCGATTCCCGGTCCACGAGGTCCGATTCCCGGTCTAGGAGCATCTCGCGCTGTTGATGCGCACAGTTCTACACGCATTTTGCCGCCAGCTATGGCGATTGGCGATACCGTGCGAGCACAGTACAAAGCAAGGGGCTCGTCCTCTGGTCCGGCTCCCCGTCAACCGGCATCTTGCGTTCAAAGCGGTAGCATTGCCGTCTCCTTAGCTGATGCTCTCCGCGAGATCGTCGATTCGCGAGTGCTAAGCATGGTATTCCCTACCCCGAGGCGCGTCACGGTACGCGGCGTACAGGGTGTTCCTACTTTGCATCGCCTGACGCCAGGTTTTCTGCTCGGAACCGCTCGCAAGTACGCGATATAAGAGCCGGGGTGCTTTTCCTCCGCAAGCTCTACATCGAACTTGTGACAATGAGTTCCAACGCTGTTCCTACCCTAGCAGTGGCCACCTCGACCTCGTCAACCGGCGACGTCCTCCCTTCGCGTCAGAATCTTACGGCCGTAGATACGAGCTGCTCCTACGTCAATCTCTCCAACCATTATTTCGCTATCGCGGATGGACTCCAGTCTTTGGTCTGCGCCTCTCCCGACGATCTTCGACTATTCCGGGAATTCGCCGCGAAGTTCAAGTCTCTTACCAGGTAGACGACTACGTTTCAGTCATGTGGTCTGCGCTCACCTGTGGAACTCATTTCAGGCAACCATCCTGCCTGACGCCTATCATATCTTCCGTGGCTTACCACCATCTCGCTAACTTCGCTACGCTTTTGCAACTCTCGCCAAATGTGGTGTTCGACGTTTGGAGGCACCACGGAGCTCTGGCAGGTCGCGTACTCTCGTGGTTGAAGGGTCTTGCGCGTGTGAACCTGTTCGCCGCCTCGCCGTTGACGTCGACTATGTCCCCCTATGACAACGACATTCTATTTTACTTGACGTCAAGCGCCGATCACACCGCCGGGTTGTTCGCTCCTTTCAACTCACCAGCAGGCGGACCATCGACCTTTTTCGCACCGTCAACTTTTCCTCGTTCCGGTGAGTATCCACTTTCACGGGTTTGAAGATGTCAAGCTTATGTTCCGAACGCCCCTCGTAGACATTGCTGCCCACGCTCGTACCATACAACTCCGGGAGACTGGCGACGAAGGAAACTTCAACCACGAGGACGAGGATGAGGACGACTCATTCTCCGATAGCACTCTCTCAGACTTCCGGTTTCCCTCTCCGGAGCTAGAATCATCTATCCAACGCGATCAACTCATGCTCTGGTCTGGAGCGCGTCTTTGCTACGACCCAACCACGCGTTCCTACACTGGAAAGACGAGCCAGTACTCGGTGGACAAGAACGTCGTGTCGATCAACGTCTCTGACGCTCACGATTACCCTTCCCGGCGTCCTCCTCCTAATGAGGGCTACGAGACTCTGTCGGCGGATAATAAGTCGCACATACTCTGGCGCAAGAAGATCGGCATGCTCATCAGTGGTTCCATCCTATGTCAAGTCAGCGATGGTGAGTGCATCTACTCTTGAGCGCCCACTATGGTCTGACCTATCTTCAGCGCCTCGCGAGTCCGACGCTGCATGGTCTCTCGGTGCATTCCCAAGCAACTACATCCTCACACGGCGCACGACTGTTCGGATAGTCGATGGTGCGAAAAAGAAGCGCACTGATCTGTACTTGTACGGTACGCTCAAGAGTCTTATTCGCGATATGCAGCTCCTCACACGCTCGTTGATGATATAGGTGCCACTTACCGTTTCGCATCGGCGGCAGAGTTTGCCGCTCATGCCATAGGGCTTATGCGCGGGACAGGCTCGTGCGCATGCAAGTACTGCTCGGGGTCGCCGCAGAAGGACATCACGTCTATTCTAAAGGAGGCCGCTCGGCCGACGCGCTCGGCGGGATCTTCCACAGAACACCCGCACTTGCGGTGGCGTAGCGAGGTGTGAGCGGGAGTTCAACGTTCAAGTCGGATCAAAGTTGTAGGGGAGAGTTGAGGCCCGTACTTCCATGGTACCGTTCTCTTTGGCTCGTACATAATGTATCACCATCTATGCACAACGCTCGGCGGACGCCGAGCGTCTCATTCTCCAATGACATCGCTCCTTTTCTGCTATTTACGAACACCGCGAGACATCCACGGGCACGACATCCCCAGTCACTCGCGTAAGCATTCCGTTCCTCGAGCCGTGGTGCGGTACACTTAGCGAGGTGGAGGCTACATGCTGTTGGCGCGACTCTTCGCTAGTTCACTATGGCCCAGGCGCGTGAATCCTGGCCAGGACCGCCATGGCCAGTGCAGCCGCCTTCCAACTGCTCTCGCAGGGAGCCTGTGATCACTTGGATACATCGAAAGATAGTAGCTCGAGTGTACCACGACCCACTGGGGCGGAAGCACAGCGCGCGTTCATATACGCGCGCCCGCACCCAGACGCGTCGCGGAGGTGCCCTGCGTGCGAGGCGACTCGGTACCCAAGACGCGTCGCGTGTCGCGGGACTTAGTTAACGGCGCGGTCGCGCAGAGTACAACTTGTCTCTTACCGCCACCATCCCGCGATGACGCGAGATATGTGCTCCTCCACCCGCCTGTTTCCCTAACCCGCCGCTCCTCTCCTCTCTCGCCTACTCCCTCTTATCCTTCCGCCGCTTATGGTATGCCTGGCACGTACACTGACCTGCGCGCTGGCTCGAAATATCATCTGTTCTGATCTCTCTACTGTAGAGCGCTCTGATCTTGTCGTCGAGGTTTTCGTCAGCAGCATCGCCCCGGCGATGATCGCTCATCACCACCGCCTCGAGCCCGAGGGAGAGGCGTACCTTCCGTACGTGCATACTTGCGCTGAAAAGGCATACACTCACCTCGTTTAGCCTCCCAGACACCAATGTGTACAACATCGAGTCGGCGCAAGGTCTCTGCGCCACAGCGCGTATGGCCACTACCATCTCTGGAACCTGAGAAAACCTCGCCGCCGCCGGACACTCCGGGTCCTGTTATTGACCCGCGTTTCTTCCCGTACCCTCACCCTCTCCTTCACGACTCGGCCAGGTTGTCACGCCGCCATAACAATCGTCTCTGGTTCCGCCCCGCACGCCCCACGTCCGAGAGCGTCCGCTCACGCATGCCCCTCTGCAGACGGATCGGGCGCAGGAACGGGTGGCGTCAGCAATGCCGGTACATTATGTTGTGCCCACATACAGATAAACTTACCCATTTCTCCAGCATTTCCTCAGAAGTCGAGAAGGACGCCAACCGCGACCCACGAAATGCAAGAACGATAGGCCATGTGCGTATCTATTCCTGCCTTGTTCGCCGTCGTCGTCGCGCTGATGATCGAACGAGCTGCACCCGTCAGGGTCAACCGCCCGCGACATGCTGTGAACAGTTGTGTGTTCTACGACGCTTGAGCCTGACGAACGAGCAGAATAGCCGGTTTGTAAGCACTGCAATCTTTTCGAGCGACTATACGCTATTGACGGTCGCAACTCAGATACTGACTCTTTCCTCATCTTCCTATCCGCCTCTTGCTTACCTACCGGTGAGTCGAACGACTTGTCGAGTTCAGCATCGTACTGACATCGCTTGCAGCAACTCTCGCCCTCTTTCGCCCACCTTGACTTCGTATCGGGCTCGGTTTACCATTGTATCTTATGCCCCTGCACATGCAGCCCGGTTCACCCATGTACTAAGTCTACCACGATTATAATCGCACTTCGTTATTTTGCCATTGATATCACTAGAAAGTCGAGGCATACAGAACGGAGCGACCGCTTCCAAGCTCGTTAAGGTTCGTGATCCTATCAAATGTAC